GTAAAATAATATTAATTTTAAATTTAAATTTGATCTTAATTCATAATATAAATTTCAACATTTACATTTTTATTATTTGACTTCTATTTTAAATTTAAATTTTATCAATTAATTCATAATAAAAATTTTAACATTTACATTTTCATTATTTGATTTCTATTTCAAATTAAAATTTTATCATTTAATTCATAATATAAATTTCAACATTTAAATTAAAGTAAAAATTTATCACATATATGTACATATCGTTTAAAAAAAATCAATCAATAGAATTTCTATAAAAAAATTTAAATTCTTATAAATTTTGAAAAAAATTTTAAAATTGGTGTCAGAAAGAACAATGGTTTCTTATCATATGCATTTTCAAAATTTTTAGACCTCAATTTTATACATATATATATATATATATTATAAAAATATTTAAACTTTGTCTTTAGTTTTCGGTTAAAATTAGTTCACGATGATTAATATTTTTATATATTAAAAAATTTAATTAATAAAATTAATAAAAAATTAATGCACATTAAAATAATGCTGAGAGTCTGATGTACACTTGTATTATTTATTATAAGAAAGGAGAAAAAATATTGCTTTGATAAATAATCAAATTTTACCCATTGGCTTGAGAAGAAATCTTATTTTATACTGTATTAAAAATAATAAAATGGTCCAAGAAAGTCAATCTTCTTCAAAGAAGAAAAAACTTATAATTTTTAACAATTAATTTTGTGCAATATAAATTCTTACTCTTGAGTATGAAATAAAATATTTTTAATAGAAAAAACCATATAATTTCAAGAAATTAAAAATCGAAGTTCAAAAGTATCACTTTCAGAAAAATCACTCATAGATAAAAATGGATTATCTGTAAATACTGTAATGTTAACATCAGTTTGGTAATTAGAGACGGATATCTGAATTATTCATAACTGTATCAAGATTGCAAATTTGTTCTTCATGTTTACTGTTATTGACATATTGCGAGATGATATCTACAGAAATGCATATATAAGCTATTCATTTTGTTATTAGAGAACATTTTGATTGATAACACAAATTTCCTCAATTGCGATTTCTATTTTATAATATAAATTTTTGACAAACATTCCATTCAGTGATTTTAAAAGCACTTTCTGTATGTGCATTTAAAATGAAAATCATTCCTCTTTTCAATTTCATTAAATGAATTAATAAATACACACACACGCAAATATAGAGTGTTCTTCATAAAAGTGGAATTTATTTTTCCAAATAAATGAATTATTCTTTCATATTTATAAATTTAAAAAAAAAAATTGTTTGAACGTACAAAAAAAATTTTTTATTTCTCTAGATAAAAAATTAACGTTTGCATAGAGTGATGAAAATGAGTGAAAATGGAGAGATTTGTATTTATTTAAAAAAAAGTGGTAAACGCAAAAGAAAATTATTTAATTTAATAATGAGAAAATGTATATTCTAATTGGTAAATGTTTTTTTTAATACGTTAAATGAGAGAAAAGATGAAATTTTCCCTTTTTAAAAGAATTTTCTTTTTTTTTTTGCATAAATTTGTAAGAGATGGTTTAATATTTTAGTGTAGGATTTAAAGCTTTACTATTGTAAAAGGATTTTAATGAATACTGCTTTTCAGAAATTTGCCGTACTTGGATTATAAGAAATTCTAAAATTCACTTTGGTTATAATGATATCCCGAATAACTGGAACATAAATAAATGAGAATTTATATATACATACGAAAAGTTGAATGAAATTGAGAAAGAGAGAAAAATTTACATGCTAGCTTAATCTTAACAATATGTATGTAGTTTTATCATTTATTCAAAATTACAAATGTTGGTTTTTCGTATTTTTACTTTAAAAAATTCTCATTGTAATTCATTTTATTTTCGTTTGATTTTTTATAGAATAATAAGAGAGGAAGAATTTTAGGAAAAATTTATTTATACATCTATTTTTTGCATTTATAAAACAAACACGTATTGAATGTCAATATTTTTAAATTTAAATGAAATGAAATTTCATAATTTAAGTATTTTTGTTTTTTTGTTAGAATAAATTTACATATATACAATATCTCTAGTGGAGCAGAGAAGTAAATAATAATACTACGTATGGAAAATGTTCATTGTGACGTGAATTTATTATAGAAATTCGTTTCTGTGAATATGAGTAATTTGAGTTTAAAAATTTATTCTCTGATGGATTGAATTTTTTTCTGCGAGATGAAATTTTTTATGATCTATGTTCTACTGCTAAAATTTTAGTACGAACATAACTAAATGTTAGATTTTTAATAAAAAAAAAAATATATTTTAAATGTGGAAATAATTTGAGAAAATGTAATTTTTTATTGATATAAATTTCAACTGAATACATTTAATTTGAAGATATTAAATTAATACCGAATGTGTTAAATAGAAAGAAGTAAAAAAATGTTTCTCACTTATTTTTTAAAAATAAAATTAGCAATTTTAAAAATAATAGAATTTAAAATTTTTTTATTTCAAATTTTTGTTAAAAACACTAAAAAAATTCAATCTTGGAGAAATTACAATTAATTGCATAAATTCCATTATTTTCAAAAGTAATAAAATTCTTCTCATAAAATTCAATTATATTCAAAATTTAAAAAAAAAATTCTTGTCAAAATCCCAATTATCTTTATAAATAACAAAATTGTTCCTCAAAGTTCAATTTTTTTTAAAAATGTCAATAAAATTGTTGGTAAAATTTCAATTATTTTCAAAAATTTGTCTCATTTCAATGATTTTTAATCTCTATTTTAATAAAATTTTCCAAAAAGAATTCAATTCTTTAAAAAAAATTTTAATAAAATTATACGCAAACATTTTATTATTTTCATAAATAATAAAAATTTTCCAGGAATTCAATTATTTAAAATTTTTTTTAGAAATTTCTTCGCAATAATTCAATTATTTGCATAAAAAGTAATTAAAAATTCTAGAAAATAATAATTGAATTAAAATGAAGAAAATAATTTTGAAGAACTTACAGTAACAATATTTTTATATTATATAAATTAATTATTTTATCTCTCGGTCATCTTTAAATATTATAAAACATGAAGAAATCGATCACTCCGAGTCTTCGACTCGGAGCAATCGTTATCTTTATGTTTTATAAAAATACTTTTAAAAGTGGTTTAATTTCAAAAAGGTTTGAATTTGAAAGTTTGGAAAATCTGAATTTCTATGGAAAACTAATAATAATTTAATATTTATTTAACAAAGAAGTTCTTGATGTTTTTGAATAATTCTACAATAAAAAAAATTCGTAAATAAATTAATAGAATCTTTTTTTTTAGTAAAATTTTTTCTCTTATTTTCTAAAAATTTAAAAAGTTTGAATTTAATTTTCAATTAAAATTATTGACAAATAAAATTTATCAACATTTTTTTTATTTTTAAAAAGCTTTGAATTTTATTAAAGCGATATTGTAATTAAGAAATAGACATGATGCAAATTAATTTCCTTCTGAAAATTTAGAATTTTCTACAAAAAATATTAAGTGACAAAAAGGGTATATTTCCTATTTCTTAATTATAAATTTTTATCAATTTTCTAATATTTTTTATAAATAAAAAGAAGAAAAATTTGCATAATTTAGATCAGTCAAACGAAATCTGTTACAAAAAAATCATATAAAAAACAAAATTTATTTGTTAATAATTTTTAAAAAATTGTTAATTTTTTAATTTCGAACATTTGAGCATTTGAAACTTAAGGGGCATAAAGTTTGATTCAAATTGAATCATTTGTTTTTATTCGAACCAAAAAATAATTTAATAATAATAAATAAAACAATAAATTAAATAATTTATTATTTTTGGTATTAATTTGACGTACAAATTAGGATCAATTTTATACTTTTGATAACAGATACTTTTTTATTAAAAGTGAGTGATGTAATAGAAAAAGGGTTTGAGTATAATTTTCTAGTAGGTAATATTTTTAAGATAATGTAAATTTTTTATATTATTTATATATACAAGTATGTAAGGCAAATGATATAAGAAAATTATAAAAAGCAATGAACGAGTCAAGACGCATGCGGCGATAATATCGATTAGTTACTCGACTAAGTAAGTGTATAAGAGGAAAAGTGTATATGAATCTTTATTGGTGATAAAATGGGTGCAAATATGATCAGTGTGAGAGGAACTCGACTGTTGCATGTGAGAAACTTGACAAACTAGGGATTTAACGCGTGAGCGCCTTGGATTAGCGAGTTTCTTAGTTAAATACTTAGAAACTTTGCTGTAACGAGAGATTACATCCTAACTAAATTCTAATAAATTACATTTTATTCTAATTAAATATATTTCATCCTTTATAAAATATATATTACTGCTTATAAAAAATATATAGTTTATTTCTTATAAATAATATTTTATTGTAAAATATATTTTATTTCCTATAAAAATATTTTATTGATTTTAAAAAATATTTTATTCTTTGTAAAATATATTTTATTTCCTGTAAAAATATTTTATTGCTTTTGAAAAATATTTTATTTAACTTATAAAAAAATAAATGATTTTTAAAAATTTCTACCAAAGTTTTTTTGAAAGTAGCAAATTTATAGGAAAAGTTTCGATTACAAGAAGTGTGATTGTTAACTTTATTATTTTATTGAGATTAATTAAGATTAATAATAATAAGATGAAGTTATTCAATGTGTAATTAAAGAATGTAATTAATGAATGTATAAAAAATGTATAAATAAAAATAATTTCTATTATTAACTATATTTTACACAAACTTTATTAAATTTAATTAATTGAAAAACGATTTGATGTATTATTAAATTTAATAAATTAAAAAATGATTTGATAACACAAACCTTTTTGTACCAAAAATTTAGTAATGCGCTAATTGTAAGTCCCGGAATATTTCTCTTAAAAGAAGGAAAAATTGTTTATTCATAATTATTAAGTTATTGTAAATTTAACGTGAATTTTTTTTTGTGATTTCAGTTGCTGGGTCTGGGCATCATGGCGGTGGGCGTTTGGGCATGGACAGAGAAAGATACATTTAATAACTTGTCTCGCCTAACAAACATCGCTCTTGATCCAGCATTCATCTTTATTCTAGTCGGTAAGTAAAGAACTAAAATAACAATATGGAAAGTATAATTCAATTCCCCTCCCGGATCAGAGATTGTTTCCAAACTTTTTAAATCGAAACGAAAAGACAAAAGTTTTGCGAACGGCAGTAAAGTTTCTGCTTGCTTATTCATAATGCTTTAATTCATTGATAGCGGAAAATATTGTTTGCCACATTAATAGAAATGACTGCTTTTAAATATCTATTTCTAAATTAATTTTTTTCTTAATTTTTTTTTTTTGGTAATTGTATTTTTATTTTTATTTGGAAATTATTATTTATTATTTATTTATTTGAAACTAATAGATTGCAACGAATTGATATCATACTGCAATAAATTGATATCAATTGCAACGAATTGGTATAAAATAAAAAAAATCTATTCTCAAAAATTATAATCAAATTCTTTAAAAAGATTCAATTATTTTCAAAAAATATTCGAAATTCAATTATTTTCAATATCTAGTATTTTCATAAAATTTTGCAAAACAATTCAATTATTTAAAAAAAAAATTGATAAAATTCATCCAAAATTCAATTGTTTGCCTAAATTAATAAAATTTCTACAGGAATTCAATTAATTTAGAATAGTATTTTCAATAAAAATCAATTACTTAACAAAATTTTTATACAATTCTTCACAATAATTCAATTGCTTTCACTAATAATAAAATTTTTCATGGAAATTCAATTTTTAAAAAAAAGTTTTGATAAAATTCTTAACAAGAATTCAATTATTTTCATAAATAATAAAACTCATCGAAGAATTTTAATTATTTTTGAAACTATTTTAAATTAATTAATCGAAAAATTCAATTATTTTCACAAATAAAATTTTCCACAAGAATTCAATTATATTTAAAATAAAATTTTCATAATATTTATTACATTTCGAAAAGAAATTAATTATTTAAAACAATGTTTTGTAAAATTCTTATAAAGAATTCAATCATTTTAAAAAATAACAAAATTGTCCACAGAATTTAATTCTTTTTAAACTTTTTAATAAAATTTTTCGAAATAATTTTAATTATTTTCATAAATAATAAAATTCATCACAGGATTTAAAGTATTTTTAATATAATTTGACAGGAATTTCTAAAAAAATGTTACTATTCTTCAAAAAATAATTTCAATTCCTAGTAAAAATCAATTATTTAAAAAAAATGTTTTTTTTTAATTTTTTAGAAGAATTCAATTATTTTCAAATATTTTAATAAAATTATTCGAAAGAAATCAATTATTTTATATACAAAATTTTAATTAAATTTTTTTGAAATAATACAATTATTCTTTTATATTTTAATAAAATTCTTCCCAAGAATTCAATTATTTACATAAATAACAAAATTTTTCACAGAAATTCAATTCTTTTTAACAATTTTAATAACATTTTCCGCAATAGTTAAATTATTTTCATAAATAATAAAATTCATCGCAGAATTTCAATTATTTTTTTAAATATAATTTTACAGAGATTGCTCGAAAAATGTATAATTATTCTTAAAAATTTTAATTCCTCAAAAAAATCAATTATTTAAAAAAAAATGTTTTTTTTAAAAATCTTTGAAACAATTCAATTATTTTCATAAATATTAGAATTTTTCACAGGATTTCAATTATTTTCAAATATTTTAATAAAATTGTTCGAAAGAAATCAATTATTTTAAATACAATTTTAATTAAATTTTTTTGAAATAATTACATTATTCTTTTAGATTTTAATAACATTCTTCCTAGGAATTCAATTATGTCGAAAAATAACAAAATTATTCTTGATAATTCAATTATTTTTTTAGGCATTTTAATAAAATTCTTTGCAAAATTCAATTATTTTCATAAATAACAATATTCATCACAAGAATTCAATTATTTTTAAAAGTAATAAATTTCTTCTTGGAAATTCAATTATTTTAAAAAATTCTAATAAAATCGTTAACAAGAATTCAATTATTTTAATAAATATTAAAATGCTTTTTAGGAATTCAATCATTTAAAAAAAAAAATTGATTAAAATACCACACAGACATTCAATTATTGTCAAAAATTTTAATAGAATTCTTTGTAAAATTTAAATATTTTTAGAAACTTTTCGCAATTCAATGATTTTCCATATCTACTATTTTCATAAAATTTCCAAACAGAATTCTATTATTTAAAGAATTATTTGTAAAAATCTACGTAAAAATTCAATTATTTTCATGAATAATAAAATTTTTCAGGAATTAAATTATTTAAATTAGTATTTGCATAAAATTAGTCAAAAGAAATCAATTATTTAAAAATTTTTTATAAAATTCTTCGCAAGAAATAAATTACTTTTATAAATATTTGAATTCTTTCATGAATAATAAAAATCGTTGCAGGAATTCAATTTATTAACAGAATAAGAAAGTAGTAATTATTTTTGATGAAAATTGGGAAAAAGTGAGGAAAATAAAATATAGAATAGAATTTTTGTAAGCTTTGTAATGTGTCTAAAACGAGTTTTTTTGGTCGTCAAGTTTAATTTTTCGATAGCTGCTATTTGCTACTTTTTTCAAATTAATTATCGAGTGCGAAGTACGGAAATTGCAAATAGAATCGGTATCAATTGCAATTAATATCATATGATACAAATTTTTATCCAATGTGATATAAATTTAATACTTTGAAGAAAACAGCAGAAACTATTCTATAAAATTGATTCGAAATGAAAATTTTCGTCCCCCTATTTTTAAAATAACAAAAGTTATTTTGATTTTCGTATATAGAACGAAGTTAATCGTATAACAAGTAGCGCATAAATAAAATGGAATTAGGTGAAAATAAGATAAAGCTGCACGTATATATCTGAATAATGCAGGTATAAAAGGAGTTTAACGACGTGCTGCTGGATTATATAAGTAAATCTCACACCTTAGCCAGCACAGCTGGAAGAAAAAAAATTGATCTAATTTTTCTTTTCAAATTTCACACAAGGCAACAATTTTTCATGACGATATCTACATATATACATACATCTCATTATATACTTAGTGGAAAATTTCAAAGAATCTTAAATAAACTCGTTGAACAAAAATAAAGATTTAGTTTCGGATATTTATAAATATTTATCAGAAAGAAAATTTCTTTTCGATTTATTTCTAAAAATTTTAATTTTTTAATTTCAAATATTAAATCATTGTCATAATGATACTAATGGTATTCCAAACAAATATTTTCTTCGAATGTTGATAAGTGGAATTTATTGTGGCACTCACAAATAATGATGTTAGCATCAAACGTCATGCAGTTTAGTAATTAAATTTTCATCGCTGTCAGCTGCATCTAAAATTACAATTCAGTAGTTTCAAATAATCATATCTTCAAATTTATTGCAATTTTCTTTATTATCTCGTCTACTTATATTACAGTATTCTGAATATTTGCTAAAAATAGGTATATTATCGCTACGTGGATTTTATTTTATTATTATTTTACTTTGTTACTTAATTCAATGATTTTCAATATCTACAATTTTCATAAAATTTTCCAAAAGATTTCAATTATTTAAAAAAATATTTAATAAAATAATTTATAGAATGGAAAATCAATTTAAGATTTGATTAGGTTTACAATAATTACTCAAGTGTAAGGTGAAATAATGTTTGAGGCAGCTGTTGCTTTAACTATAAGACGTGCTTGTAATTTCTAAATATTGCCAACAATCTCTTTCGTGTTTACAAGACAGGGGTGGTTATGCTACATTCACTTCTACCTACACCCTTAATTAGGTCATGTAAATCAGGTCATTTCCAGCTAACTCCGCATGCAAACTGAAATACCGACATTATTTCCGCAATGGGTTTTCATCTCCGTTCGCAAAATTGAGTGAATAGCATATATTTTATTTGTCTGCTATAATAATTAATTAGAAAATAGTTCTCATCAAATTTTATGCATACTCTAAATAAACTCGTCAAATAATTATATAATAATTATTAATATTCAGTTATTAATAAAATATCCATGAAATGTATTGTTATTCATCATTATTATTTTTAATAATAGTAGTAATAGTAATAGCAGTTATTTTGTACAAATATTAATATTATTATTTAATTATTATTAGAAATAATTATATTATTATTAATTATTATTAGAAATAACTATATTATTATTATTAATTATTATTAGAAATAATTATATTATTATTAATTATTATTAGAAATAACTATATTATTATTATTAATTATTATTAGAAATAATTATATTATTATTAATTATTATCAGAAAGAACTATATGATTATTAATTATTATTAAGAATAATGACAGTTATTTTTGAGTAAATAATATTCGAATAAATTTCTTTCAAAATATATGAAGCCTGGAGATAAAAGGATTTAAAATTAAATTGAAAAAATATTTCGTTCACTTGAACGTTCAGAATTTTTGGAAGTACAATTTTAATAAAAAAATTAATTAAACCACTCCCCCTCCTTCGACCCGTGGTTTTATAAAATTCTCTCTAAATTTAAATTATTAAAAATATTAATTAATTAATTAATTCACTTATGAAGTTCATAGTGTTAAATATTCTTGTTTATTATTATTCAAAAATTTTTAATAAAATTTTTCGCAAGAATTTCATTATTCTCATAAATAATAATATTTTTTAAAACAATTCAATTATTTACAATACAATAATAATAATATTTCTCGAAAGAATACAATTATTTTTCAAAATATTAATTAAATTCGATTATTTTCAAGAATTTTAATATAAAATTATTTTTGACAATTTTGATGAAATTCTTTTTTAAAAAAAATAATTATTTTCAAAATTTTTAATACAATATTCCTTCAAAAAATTCAATTATTTTTAAAAATTCAGAAAAAATTCTTCGAAATAATTCAATTATTTTTAAGAATTGTAAAATAATCTGCAATGATTCGATTACTTTTATAAATAAGAGAATTCTTCAAAGGAATTCAATTATTTTCATAAATAATAAAATGATTCGGAGAAATTCAATTACTTTCAATACAAATTTAACAAAATTTTCTAATTATTTATAAAAATATTACTTAAATTAAATTATTTTCAAGAGTTTTAATTGAAATTCAATTATTGTTGACAATTTTGATCAAATTCTTTGAAACAATTCAATTATTTTTATAAATTGTAAAATTCTTGTCAATAATTGAATTTTTTTTTTTGTAAATAATAAAATTCTTTTGAGAAATTCATTTATTTTACAAATTTTTAATTAAAATTATTTTTAAAATTACATTATTTTTACGAAATTTAATGAAATTAGAAAAAATGTAATTATTTACAAAAACTGCAATAAAATTGTTTAACAGAATTTAATTTTCTATGAACAATTTTAATATGATTTAATTGGAAAATTGTTAATTACAATTAATAATAAACACAATTTTAAAAGCTAAAAAAGAAAATCTTCATAAAATTCTATTAGTTTTAAAATTTCCATTACAAATTATTTTAAAAAATTCCATTATTTTCAAGAAGATTGAAATAAATTCTTTAAAACAATATTCAATTATTTTAAAGAATTTTAATAAAAATCTTGTCAAGAATTGAATTATTGAAAAAATGGTAATAACATTTTTGAAATGAATTTCATTATTTTCAACTTTTTTTGATAAATACTTTGCAAGAATTCAATGATTTTCGGTACATTAATTTTAAAATTGAAAATATTTAAAAAGGAAATTATTTCAAAAGTTAGGAAACAAAAAAGCAAACAGCAACTAACTTCAAACTGCGAACATATTACCGGAATACAACAATTATTAATATAGAAGATTAATATAGATTAGCAAAAACTACTATTTATTAGTAAAATTTATTAATTAAAAAGCAAAACTTTTACTAATAAATAATAATTTGTACTAATTTATTAGTAAAATTTACTAATACAAAAGCAAAACTTTTACTAATAAATAATAATTTATACTAATTTATTAGTAAAATTTACTAATACAAAAGCGAAACTTTTACTAATAAATAATAATTTGTACTAATTTATTAGTAAAATTTACTAATTCGAAAGCAAAACTTTTACTAATAAATAATAATTTGTACTAATTTATTAGTAAAATTTACTAATTCGAAAGCAAAATGTCAGTTGCTATAATTCAAATTAGTAAACATTTTTACTAATTTAAATTTAGAGAGTTAAGAGAAAAAAAAAATTCTACCTTCAAACAAATATAAATTTTGCAAAAAAAAAAACAATTTTGAAAAAAGTTGATTTTTTTTTTAATTAATAAATTCATTGTCACAGGTACAGTGACATTTGTCATTGGATTTACGGGGTGTGTAGGTGCACTCAGGGAAAATACGTGCCTCCTAGCTGCTGTAAGTAGTCAATTATTTACATTTTGAGAGCAATTGTCATCCAACAGTATTACACTAAAACCATTTTGTTGCAAATTATACAAACAAAACTGTGCACTTTTGTAATTAAGTTATGTACTTCAATTTTCATTTGGAAAGCCAAATCTGATCACTCGATTGAGGAAAACAAATTAATTTTAATTGCGCACTTTGGTCTCTATATATATAACAGTTTGCTAATTTCAAATTGCTTTTAAATGTAATCTGTTAAGTAGAGAAAATAACTAGTGTATAAATTTATTTCAACATTTCCACTACTGGTTTTAATGAAATTAAATTGGTAATTTAATTTAAATAGAGAATTTTCGAGATTACATTTTTTTTTAGTGATTTTTAGTTCTTCCTTTTTGAAAATTGTTAAAATTTTAAATAGGAGAATAATTTGAATAGCAGGGAATATTTGATTTTTTTCGAATATTCCTCTGAAATATTCCATCTATATTTTAGGGATATTCCCCTGGAATAATCCAACTTTTAGTTTTTCCATTTTATTGAAAACTGTTATTAAAATATTTCAAATTAAAATAAAACTGTCATTAAAATTTCAAATTAAAATAAATTGAGTAATTGATATTGAATTTAGTGACAATTTCTAAAGTGAAAATAGAAAATTATATTGGAAATATTTTTACAGTATGCAAATTTTCTTGCACTGCTGTTATTATTGGAGATGACAGCGGGTTTCTTGGGGTTCATCTTTAAAGACTGGGTAAGAAACTTCATTATTTAATTTCTATTATTTAATTTATTTACTATTTTACTAATTACTATTTTCTTACTGAATTAATTATAATTATTATATTAAAGAATATATTTTGTACATTTCAAGTTGCAAAAAATAAAATTGCAAATGTTTTACTAATTTTACAGATTTATTGTTTTCTTTACTGAAAATTTGTAAAATTTTATTAATTTAATTAGATGTTAATTACAATTTGCGAATTTTTTTTTTACTATTTTGCAGTCATTTTTTTCTTTACTGAAAATTCGTAAAATTCTAATATTGATTCAAAATAACCATAATTATTATTAATATTACTGATTTACAAATTCAAGGAATAATTATATAATAGAAAAAGTTGTTACTATAAACATTTAAAAATTTTATCGCACTTTCTTCTCTAATGTAAAATTTTTATTTTTATCGCTCAATCATTTTTAAAAGAATCGATTGAACGATAAAATTTATAGAGTGTAAAAATTGTTATAAATTGAGTTATTAAAGGATTCTATATTGTGTAGATAAAGTCACAAGCGACGGGGGGCTTTCAAGCGTTCATTATTCATTATCGAGAAGATCCTGATCAACAAAATCTTATTGACTGGATTCAAGAAGATTGGGTGAGTGTATTTTTTTTTTAGTATTTACTCAGTTTTCTCTGATACAATTTAACATTCTTTTAGTGTCTTATATTATTTTGTTTTAAATTCAATATTATTTTTTCTAAATTCAATATTATTTTTTTCAAATCAATATTATTTTTTTCAATTCAGTATTATTTTTTTCAATTCAGTATTGTTTTTTTCAATTGAGTATATTTTTTCAATTTCTATATTATATTTTTTAATTTAATATTATATTTTTCAATTCAATATTATATTTTTCAATTCAATATTATTTTTTTCAATTTAATATTATACAGAAAAGAAGCTTCACCTCGAACAGCGATAAATTTCTCTAGAATAGCGAAAGTTTTAACTATGAAACAAGTAAGAATTTCGCTAATAAAGTGAAATTTGTTGCTGTTCCATTTGATGCTTTTTTAGTGTATTTTTCAAATTTAATCATACTTTTTTCAATTTATTGAAAAAAAATTGAAAAAGTATAATTTTTTCAACTTAATCGAAAAATTGAAAAAAAAAATGTTTAAACTCAATATTATTTTTTCAATTTAATGTTAATATTCTTCCAATTAAATATTAGCATTTTTTTTTAATTTTCATCGGATCATTTTTTTTTTTAATATCATAATTTTTCACTGTGCGAATCGTATTTATTAACGAAAACTAACTCTATATTTGCAAATTTTTATATATTAAAAATATGTACAAATTCAAGTTTATTTTAAAAATGTCGATCAATATGGCCGCAGAGAGTTCAATGTTCGGATTTTAAAAACAAGGTTTGGAAATACCAAAAGTTGATTTAACTTATACAGACAGAGATACAATTTTCACGTTGTAACGGTGATGTAATACTTCTATTTTCGATTTGTTTGCTTTTAAATCGTTTATTTAATATCTCAAAGCGATTCAATTTAACTTGAAGAATTATATTTACTATGTACATTACACTTTTAAAAATAATATTTCAATTGAAATAAAATTTCAGATCCAAATGTAAAATTCATTCTTCTATTTTCAAAAGATTACTTTTTTTTTAAAAATAATTATTCTTAAAAAGCAAAATTTTGTTTCTTTCGTTGATATTTATAAATAATGAAAAAATATTCCACAAAATAAGAATATAGAATCTATCTAAAGTGGTTTTAATTGTATAACTGTGTAAATTTATTAATGGTTACTTTTATTTCAAGAAGATTTAATTTCTCATTTCCTTTTTATATTTATACAGAATATAAGAATATTACACAAAATAATGATATATAGAATCTATATGAAAGATTCAAAGATGATTTTAATTGCAAAACTGTGTAAATTTCTTAATGGAAAAATTTTCTATTCTTATTGTCGCAGAAATACATTTTAAGATTTGATTCGAACTTTAAAATATTGAAAATATTTTTTTTTTTGACGTTATATATAGTTTTCTCGATTTGTAACTAACTTTGTTTCATATTCAAGAGGAAGAATTTAATTTGCGCAAAATTAATTGTTAAAAATTGTAAGGTTTTTCTTCTTTGATTGACTTTCTTGATACTATTTGATTACAGTCGAACCTGTCCGAATGTAACTTTATTTAAAAAATTTTTTTGTATTCAAAAATATTAAAAAAAATAAATTGTAAAACAATTTTTTAAGGATTGTTTCCCGTAAAGAAATTTAAAAAAAGTCGAGTTGGATTTCTACAGGTTTCACTGTATTGAAAATGAATTATCATATAAAATGTGAATTTAAAGTAGAAAAAAAAAATGTTGAGTATAAAAGTTTCATATGTGTAATGTCCTCGCGCCTCCATGAAATAAAGTCTTGGAAAAATCTGCGAATTGTATGTGAACAATGTTACTATTGAATTCCAGCTTCAGTGTTGCGGTATCGAGGGTCCAAAGGACTGGGATCGCAACAACTATTTCAATTGTTCTTCGAGCGAAATTGGCTCCAGGGAAGCCTGCGGCGTGCCTTTTAGCTGTTGCAAGCGAAAACCTAATGTAAGAAACAAAAAAAAAACAAGAGCAAAAAAGATTTCTTTTTTGAAATTTATTTACAATTTTCGGTTCATCGAAATCGTTTTTTCGTTCCAAGTTTTATTATTATTATTATTATTATTAAAATATAAATTATAAATTCTTGTTACAGTATTTCAGTAGTACAGGTCAATTACAGTCAGACAAAATTGTTTCCAATAAAACATTTTTTTTTCTTTGAATTTTTTGCTCTAAAAAATTAGAATTAAAATGAAAATTTATATTAAAAAGATTAATTATAAATTCAGAATTCAAATCATAAATTTTAATGAAAATGAAAAATTTAAATTATTGATTTAAACTTGAAATAAATAAAAATTTTCTTTTTGAGATTAAAATTGTGAGTTAGATTATAATAAAAAAAATTTTAAAGACTGAAAAGTAATTAAATTTTTATTTTAAATTATAATAATATGCCGAGAATGAAAAATGTGGAGTTCAATTTGAATTTAAGTTTTACTCACTCACGTCAAATCTGTCGCATGCCTTTAATTCACTGCTGAATTAATAATCAATTTTAAAATTGCAGGAAATTATAAAAAATAAGCAGTGTGGGTACGACGTAAGGAAACCCGGTTATGTGAGTATTTACTAAAATTACTTTTCTAAGTTTTAGAAAAATTCAAATCAACTTCCGGATTTTTCAACTTTTCAGCTATATTTTCAAAAAATATCCACTGAAATTTAATTTTTAAATTTTTAATTTAGAAATTTGAGTAATAAATACAGAAGCAAACAAAAAAAATAAAAAAAAATAAAAATAACCAAGCGAAAAATAAAAAACTAAAATTAAAGAAGGGAAAAATGAAAAGCAAAAAATAAAGAAACGAAAACTAAAAAAGGCAAAAATTGAGAAGCAGAAAATAAAGAAGCGAAAAATAGAAAAGCAAAAATTGAGAAAGGAAAAAATTAAATTTAGACACAAAACAGGTAAAATTTAATCAAAAAATAAATTAGTCAAAATTAAATTATGTTCTCGAACAGTTGGCAAAAACGGTGTTTTTGTCAAAATTATTTCAATTACAAAAGATTTGCGTTTACAATTTTCATAAATAGATGAATTAAAAACCTCAAAACCTTCAAAAGGTTTTAATTTGAAATTTTAGAAAATTTCAATTTTGAATGAATTAAATACTAAAAATATCCCAGGAATTCTATTATTTACAAATGTTTTATAAATTTCTTCGCAATACTTCAATTATTTTTATGAAGAATAATATTTTCTACCAGGAATTCAATTATTTTCATAAATAATAAAATTCTATATAGGTTCTCAATTATTTTCTTAAATAATAAAAATCATCGCAGAATTTCAAATTATTTTTTATACAATTTGAATAAAATTTCTCGAAAAATGTAATTATTCTTAAAAAGTTTATTAAAATTAATAAAAAAAAATTCAATTATTTTAAAAAGCCTTCCTATAATTTAAAGTATATTATTTTTGAAAATTTTAAGGAAATTCCTTTTAACAATTCAATTTTTTTTCAAAATAATTTTAATAAAATTCTTTGTGGAATTAAATTAATTTCAATAATTTATCAAAATTCAATTATTTTTAATATCTAGGTATTTCAATAAAATTTCACAAAAGAATTCAATTATTTAAAAAGAAATATATCATTAAAATTCTTCTCAAGAATTCAATTATTTGAAAAGAAATATATCATTGAAATTCGTTTCAAGAATTCAATTATTTTAAAAAGTATATTAAAATTCTTCACAGAAATTCAATTCTGGTCATAAGTTTAAAAAACTTCTCGTCAAAATTTCAATGATTTTTATAAATTATAAAATTCTTCTTCAAAATTCAATTATTTTCAACAATTTTAATAAAATTCTTGGCAAAATTTCAATTATTTTTAAAAACTTTTCTCAATTCAAAACTCTCCGCAGAAATTCAATTATGTTGAATAATTTTTAAAAATTTTCATCAAAATTTCAATTATTTTTAGAAATAATTAAATTCTTCTCCGAAATACAATTATTTTCAAAAACTTTCCTCAATTCAATGATTTTCAATATCTACTATTTTCATAAAATTTCTTTAAAAAATTTAATTATTTTAAAAGCAATATATCATTAAAATTCGTCTCAAAAATTCAATTATTATCAAAAGAAATAAAATTCTTCATAGAAATTCAATTATGGTCAAAAGTTTAATAAAATTCTTTAAAATTCAATTATCTTTATAAATAATAAAATTCTTGAAAGATTTCAATTATCTTTATAAATAATAAAATTCTTCTTCAGAATTCAATTATTTTCAAAAATTTTAAGAAAATTCTTGGCAAAATTTGAATTATTTTCAAAAACTTTTCTCAATTCCATTATGTTCAATAATTTTCAAAAATTCTCATCAAAATTTCAATTATCTTTCGAAATAATTAAATTCTTTTTCGAAATTCAATTATTTTCCAAAATTTTCCTCAATTCAATGATTTTCAATATCTACAATTTTCATAAAAATTTCCAAAAGAATTCAATTATTTAAAAAAAAATATATCATTAAAATTCGTCTCAAGAATTCAATTATTTTCAAAAGTAATAAAATTCTTCATAGAAATTCTATTATGGTCAAAAGTTTAAAAAAAATTCTCGTCAGAATTTCAATTATCTTTATAAATAATAAAATTCTTCAAAATTCAATTATTTTCGAAAAATTTAATAAAATTCTTGGCAAAATTTGAATTATTTTCAAAAACTTTTCTCAATTCCATTATGTTCAAGAATTTTCAAAAATTCTCATCAAAATTTCAATTATCTTTCGAAATAATTAAATTCTTTTTCGAAATTCAATTATTTTCAAAAATTTTTTTCAATTCAATGATTTTCAATATCTACTATTTTTTATAAAATTTTTCAAAAGAATTCAATTATTTAAAAAAAAATTTAATAAAATTTTTATGAAGTTACATTAACAAATATAAAATAATGATTTTATCAGTCGGTCATCTTTAATTATTTATTATAAAACATGAAGATATCGATTGCTCCGAGTCGAAGACTCGGAGTGAACGATTTCTTCATGTTATATAACAATTTTTTTTAAAATTGTTTAATTTCAAAAAAGTTTGAATTTAGAATTTTTGAAAATCTTAATTCTTATGGAAAAATAATAATTTTTTATAAAATAATATTATTAATTTATTACTATTATTAATAATTATTAATATAATATTATAAATATTATAAAATAATAAATAATTATTTTTTTATTAAAATAATAATTTTTTAAAAATATTTTTTTAAAAAAGAAGCAATAGAACATTTTTCTGAGTAATAATTTCTAAACTAAGTGAGAATATTCTTTAGAGTCAAGGAGAAGTAAGAAATTTCTCTGGAATTCAAGGGAAAGTCAGGGAAAAATAAAATTAAATTTTTGTTGGCAACAATTATGTAGTTTTAAAAAATCTGGAAAAATTTCGTGTTTTTTTTTAACTTGGAAATTCTGGAAAATTCGGGGAATTTGAAATGAGCAAAAACGTGGCACAACCCTGAAAAGGATAAAAGAGGAAGTTTTGAGAGTTTCTCGTTTCGAGAGAAGATGATTATAATGTCGACAAGCGAGCGCCAACAAAAACTATTGGACTAAGAAAGCTAGAACTTAATTAGAAAGAAAATGGGGCAAGGATAAGAACTTTAGAAAGCAACTTCCATGTTTATATAGTAGCTACTGGTTGTTTCACGACCCACTTAATGGCTTTCGAGGATCCACGAAAATGTACTTGTCTGCCAATTATCGCTGTTATCGCTTTAGTGTCAGCAGTTACAACGTATACTTGAGCAATTAATGAAGTGGGTGGTGTGCATGCGAGGATCCAGTAAAAAATATTTTTCTTGTCCAAACTCTTATCTTGAGTTAAGATTAAAAACGAGTCTCTTCATTTATCACTGCGGCCAACTAACAATTCCCCTATATGGAATAATAGATATCGCGTATCAAGTGAAATAAATTCTTCTTTTGTTTTTAATTCAGTTCTCAGCTCTCATAAATAATACTATTCAGGATTTGGAGTTAGTCTCCTTTTTTTTAAACTATAATCCCTTTTTATTTCTTTTTTTCTCTTTTTTTCTTTTCTCTTTTACTCTTTTACTCTTTTACTCTTTTACTCTTTTACTCTTTTCTATTCATCAAAGATGCAAGTAAAAAATTTTTTTTATTCACTTTTAAATTCTTAAAATTCCCTAAAATACCAAAAATCATGGATATTCTCCCTTTTTTGAAAACTTACCAAAAAATAGCATATTTTTCGTCAGCTTTTTCTTTGTGAGGCAAATTTTTAGTTATGTTGAAGAAAAAATTGCAAAGTTCGAAAAAGTTTTAGTTTATTTTGAAACTTAAATAATCTTTTTTGTATTATTTTCCCAGAGATTTGAGACTTGAAAATTTTTTCACATAAGGTAATAAATATAAAATCGAGTTGCCAATGTTCAGAGTTAGGAAAAAGTTGGGGAAAATAAAATTAGTTGGAGAAATCGAGGAAATGTCAGTGAATGAATTTTATCAAACGAAGTGAAAAAATATCAAATTTTTGTCATTACTACAAAAAATTCTGATTTTTTATTCGTTTAAAAACATTTTTGAAGAAAATTTAAAACTTGAATTTTCCTTGCATTTATTTTCAACTTACATACATTAGAAACTTTTGAATCTCAATAAATTTGAAATTCCTCGATTTCTTCTTATTTACAATTTTCCACAAATAATTAAATTCCAAAATAATTTTCTTAAAATTTATAAATTATAATCAACTTAGGTAAGATTTTAGTTAAAAACTATTGCATTTTTCAAAAATAATTGAATTTTATAAGTTTTTATACGAAAATTTTTCGAAAAGTTTAAATTGCTCTAAAGAAATGAATAATAATTCATATTTATTTGAAAAATTATTTAAATTAGAATCATTTTATTTAAAATTCTGAAAAAATTAAGTTTTTAAAAAATTCTCTAATTCAATTCTTAAAGATAGGTGAATTTTCTAAACGAAATGTATTAAAGAAGTATGAAATCAATTGAAATTTTTTAGAAGAGAATTGAAAGTTATTAAAGTTCAAGAATTTCTTCAGAAATTTAAAAAAATCGAATTTTTAATATGAAATAAATAATTGAATTTTACAAAGCGTCACAATCAAAGTAATCGTTAGCTTATTAGTGTAAAAAGTAGCATTAAAGGGAAATTTTGAAATTTCATCTAAAATAATTAAATTTGGAAAGACAATTAAATTATTAAAAATTAAAAATGATCAAAAATGTTATTCTAACTTCTAAGTACCTAATGAGGTTTTTAAAATATTTCAATTCTATTTTTTAAAGATAATTAATAATATTTAATAATAATCAAATAATTAAAACGTTTTGAGATAATTAAATTTTTCTGAAATTTTATTTCAAACTAATTTACATTCTTTAAAGAATTTGATAAAAAAATAAATTACAATAAAATTTAATTATTATCAAACAGTTAATAACTTTTAAAATAATTAAATTGTACAAAATTCTTTTTAAAAATTATTTAATTTGTAAAGAATCTTATTTAAATTGAATCATTATAATCAAATAATTGAAAAGTTTTGAAA